AGCAGCTGAACGAGGTCGGACCGAAATTGCCATCGAGTCTGTCACTGGACGAGGTAACAATGAAACGCATTTTGCATACATCTATCCGTGAAATTTCACGTCTCTGACACGGCGGCTCTTTACTGCCTCGTGTAGAAGCTATGCATAAACACTAAAAGCAACAGGACACACGTACCTAGTGTTTGCCCATGACAATAACAATCGCGTTTGTGCCGTACTAATGGACAGCAGCGGCTAGAAACGCATCACACCTGGCACGAGGACCTAGACCGAATGGCGGATTTCTATCAACGTAAAATAAACGACCTCGAGGCCGATTGTTGCGCGAGCCTAGACGAGATACGCTCGCATTTCACCCTGACGGCTAGCAACGAAAGCAACAGCGAGCTCTCCTCGTGCTTGAATCTTCGGCTCCCCGAAGACGAAGACGACGACGACGACAATGACGACGATGACGACGTTGCTAACGTCGACGATGACAATAACCGAGTCGAGGACGATGACGATCGAGCGGATTACGACGGAAATAGCGACGAGGAAGAGGCATTTTACGCCCTGACTTCGGCTGATTTAAATGCCAAGTTAGATGATTTATTTTTGCACTCGATGATCGATCTTTTTACCATTGACTCAAAAAATGTGAATTTTTACAGTTCTTTGGGTGAAGAAGAGTTTGTGCTTTGGTCGATCGATAATCCGTGGCTCGATTCGTCCTCCTTCTTGAACATTGAAAATGATCGTTTCGCAGAGTTGACAGACATCGTGTAGTACAAAGGAAACGCAGGCAGCTGTTATCCCTCCGTGAGCATGTCCGTTAAATCGTCAAACGTCTACATCGCGATCAAAATCATAGAATAAACTTATCTTGAGGCCGAGCTTACCCTCGATTTTCATTCATAAAAATATGTACAGCGTAGCGAGAAAAGCCGTACTTTCGAAAAGTATAGAACCGACTCACAAAAGAATCGATGAAAAAATCTTGTCTCATTGTGTTGTACGATTCTATCGGCTAACGTGTGAAATGTGCACTGTGCGACGAGAAAAAAGAACGCTCTCTCCAAGTAAATAAGCTGGAATCGACACGAAAATATCATTGCGTCGATCCAATCGAGAGAGCAATTCGAATCGGAGGAAAAGTCGCACGTAGAATGTATTTCCAGGATACATGAATGTAATCGCGTGTCCCGTATCAAAACCGCGTGGAAAAAGATCAGTATATCTCAGGCAGATGAAAACACTCTAATGCGGGTAGCTTTTTAATGGCTATCAGTGGAGCAAAGAAGAATGAGTATTCATTAAGCTCTTTGTCTATCCGCTGCTGTCTTGCTATGGCCACGACCAAACTTGTCCGCGCATATCTCTCATTAAGTCGGACGTCTAACCTGACTGTCAGTATCCAGAGGGGAGAGTTAACGTTTAACGAGCGCGCCATTTCGTCTCGTCGTTTATATATATACGTAATGAGCGAACTAACCCGACCCCCACAAGCAAATTGCCCTCTCGAAACTCTTACTATTTTAAAGGACGCATTATGTTCTACTAGATAACACTTGCAATATTTCCAGTAAAAAAGTATACCTCCGATAGTGACTTCATAAAAAATATACATTTCAATCGTTCTCAAGATTAATCCTGATTGGAGACTAGATTTACCAGAAAAAACTTGAAAGACGAGCGTTGAAAATTTATATCTCATCGTAAAATATACTCTGCCCCTCTCTCTCTCTCTTTCTGTCTTTGGTACAAACAAGCGTATACAAGCTCGTTGCATATTTCTTTGAAAAATCTCATCTTAAAATATCGTCTGTAAAAATAAATACGCGCATGAGCCTGTTTTCTTCAAAGTACCTACGTACTGCTATTGTTGTTGCGGCTTGGGTCAACCCAAGCAATGCCATTTCAATGTAGTTATACTATAGAAGGGATCGATGAAGCAGTTCGAATGCAAAGCACGACAACGACGAACGGAAGGCAAAATTCCGTACGCGCGTATGCACGAGAAGAGAGTAAGATATTGTTTGATATTAGGTACGGAATTGCGTAGATCGTGTGCATTACTTACACCTTACTTAATCAAGCTCGGATTAGTTTAGGGTAGTGGTTTAGCATGCGGTGGCCGACGAGTGCAAAAAATTGCAATTTTCAAAAGTGGATTTAACTAAGATCCAAAAATGTAATTACCCAAGTCGGTCCCATTCGAATATGTATCTTTTAGTGAACTATATCGAGTTATTTTTAAAATTATTCTGTTAATGTTTTATCGAAGCTAAAAATATTTCTAAATACTTAGAATAAAATAGCTCGTAAATTTTATTCATCTATTTGTTGCAAACATGCTTGTCATAGAAAAATCAGCCATTCTTCTTTTATGCATGTAAACCTTCATTCCTGGTTTGGGTGTTCTTTGAATATGTTCTACATTATTATCGACGAAGATCAATTTTCAACAGCAAAGAGTACACAAGTCGTGCTCCTGTGTAGTTGTGGTGTTCGCAGAAACCTTTTCCGCTGTAATGGAAAATTGATTCTCGCAAAAATTGCTCAACTATTACGTAAAGTGCGTTGAATCACTTTACGCACATTGCTTTACATAAAGATCTTACATAATTCTACAATCCATTTGCAGCTAAGCTAAAAAGAAATGTCTTACGAAAAAGAAAGTGAGAGAAAGAGAGAGAGAGGGAAAAGGGAGGAGAAAGAACTGAACAAATTTAATAAAATACTCGAGTGTGCGACGAAGTTAATTTTGCAAATGCTTTAGGACAGAAGAGCAGAAAGATAAAGCGAGATCAATAACTTATCTCGCTTACTGGTATGAGCTACAGATGTAATTGCGAGGAATCTACTGCAGTAAAACATAGATTTGTCATGTTTTGACCTTAAAGTAAGTGCTATATGCTTGCAGTGAGTGCTCAGCTATCTGAACAACAATTATTCGAATACTTGATTATCCAAATCAAAAAAATGAGGAATTAATAAATTACGTAACTGAGGTAGGAGATTGTCTATCTGCTACAGCATTTAAAAGAAATCAAACCCAAAGATAAAAAATCGACCAATTCATATTTAAACAAGGGTAGATCTCAATCCATAGATGATTTAGTGAAAACTGTATGTATTTAAATTGAAATTGAAATTGAAGTCTTTATCACGACAGTTAATGGCAGTCAAAAATTATGCCAATTTCTAGGTTGAGCTTGCTCACCGTCACTCACAACTCAAACATTGGAATAAATTAAGTGTATTGATATGAAATTGGGACCTGCTTCAAGTTTTAATCACTGAACCTATGTTGAGGGTTTACGGCTGGTGCCTAATGAAACGTATCAGAATCTAAGAAATTGGATCAAATTTGCATAACAAATTACTGGTATATTATTCAGAATCAATTTATGATAACAAAACAGCGCAACGATGCGATTGTTATATTTCCTAGTATAGGTATATCTATTAAATTTATACGAACTGAGTTATGTTTTGAAAATCTGTGCTTGGCCTAGGAAATTTTGAATATTATTCTGTTATGGCCTCTTCTTGTATTTTGAATGACGAACGAAAACTAGCATATGCAATTCAACTAACGTGAAGTTCACTAATGTTGTTAATCAAGATGTTCAATAAGATTTGTTTTCTTTACAACTTCTCGAACCTGTAGCTTGAACCGCGCTTGCATCCTAATAAAAAAGCTTCATTGATTATTTTTCGGGATAATTTGATATATCCACTACTTTTCATTTCCAGTGCTGCAATACTCTCGAATATTATTGATCATTTAGGTAATGATAAAACTAACTAAGGTCATTTACTTTAATTTGTCACATCTTAATTTGCGAATATACTTTACATTAAGCTATTTTAATGTTTATTAAATTTTCAAAAGAATATTGGTTTTGAAACTACTCGGTACAATAAATGACTACTCAAATGGCCAATAAAAAAATCAATCCTTAACACCAGTAGTTATTTTCTTTTCACACATCGAGTATAAATACAGACATGTGGCGTCCATCCAATCACTTTGCAATTTGTTTACTCCAAGCTAGTTTGTTGATGGATGAATGCAAAAGCGGGTGTGAAAAAATTGATGAGCTTTTTTACAAATATGTTTGTGCACAAATTCGCACATATGTACTTGATTTTTTCCTTCTACCTCATGCATTGCAAAATTTATGCAAATAAGTACAAACACTCGCTAGCAACTTGACAGAATTTTTTCCTCTCGCAGTGCTTTGATGCACTTTTCACGAACATAGTTCTAACACGTGAATTAAATCAATATGAAACGATGTTAAAAATTATTCTTAAGCCTAATTTTTATACTTTATGCAATATTTTTGCGCTGCAAAGTCAAAGGGACGAGGGTCATAGGGACTAATAAAAGTACGGTTGCATCTTACACCCTGATTATGTAGAATAGTCAAAAAATTTACAGGTGACAGAGTAACATGAATTGCGTTTCGAATTTGAATACATAAATGAAAAGTGCTGTAATTAAAGTTTATTTATGCTATTTAAAAAGTTATAAAACTCGACAAAATTTAATTCAGTTATTTATTAATGCTCGACTAGAGCTCGTAACCTGAGGTAACAAAATTACTCGAAAATTCTAACTTTTGTGGTAACGGGAGAAATTATTATCTCGTTTAAATTATTGCAAGTATATTTTTACAAAAATGATCATTTACAAGTTAAGAGGAAAATAATCAATTCACAATTTACGTAGTGAAATAAAAAAAAATGCTCTCGAATTAACCTCGTACAACTTGCGAAACTATACCTCACAAATATCATCAGACCATGTAGATATTCTATAAAAATTATTCAAAATTAAAGCGTCAAATGCAGAAATGATGAATAAAAGACGACTTTCTTTGCACGCTTGCTCAGTCAAACGTACACATCAGATTTCCCAAATTAATTACCCAGAATTAGTGAAAAAAAAAAACAAAAATGCAGCGCAGTGCCCTCTCTAGAATCATTATAATGTATACCGCTCGTAGCGCGGACGGAAACTTCGAGGTGACCTTAGCAACAAAGGCCACCATCTATCATCAAGGCTTGGTTGAATGGAAGCCACCGGCGATTTACAAGTCTTCCTGCGAAATTGACGTCGAATACTTCCCATTTGACGAGCAAACCTGCGTACTCAAGTTTGGTTCTTGGACCTACGACGGCTTCAAGGTAAAAAAATGAATCACGCGTGTCGTATATGAACACCGTATGCACAGTAAACAATTAACCACAATCTGCATGCTGATTATATATAATTAAGTTAATTATGATCATTTCGATCGCTCGTCTTATGAAATGTCTCATATACCCCTCACACTTTGTGTAATACATACACTTTCAAATTATACTTTATTATTTGCTATATCTTCACACACAATAATCATTACTGATATTTTTTGTATTTTTTTAACACATCAAACAACAGTGATAAATAATGATTAACCGTCACGTCATTATTTATATTTTAATTTCTTCACACTTATTTCGATGATACCTAACCCAACCCTTGTAATACAAAAAACTTATGTAGTACTTATACGTATCGATTATCAAATCCTCCACTACCATTTCCATATAATGTATATTAACATGAAATAACCTGTGTGATATGTAAAGTATTATGTATAATCATATTTCATGTATGCATATAATTATAAATAGATAATTATAAATTTACACATCATTTATTTGAAATTATTATGAGAGATAACTTAGCCGGTATTATCAACTTTTTTCTTAATTGCTAATCTAAATTTCCTTTTAGTCGCGTACATACATTAATGAATTTATCATACCCATCTTCAATCACAACTTACACAATCTTGATGCAATAGATGGTGTATCAGAGAAAGTAAACGCAATAAATAAAGCACAAATATGACTTTTTACACCTAAATATGTATATAGACCAGTTAACACGTCAATGCCTCAGTCTATTCTAAACACACACCATGTTTGTGATATTACTTACTGTGCGATAGATCTTTATTCAAAGAAAAACAATTGAAAGAGAGGTGTAAATACCCGTGTGTATGCTCAAATTTTCATAAAAATAACGACCATCGATCATTATTACTACATCTAACTGCTGACGTAACAAGTGTGTTACTGATCACCAATACAATATTCCTTATTAATAAAAATCAATAATATTAAACTGTATATATTAAAAATATTTTTGAAGCTGAACGACTCAATTATTCAATTTAAATAACATTATCAAAATATTTCTATAAGCCGACGTTTCAAGTACACGCATTTCTCTATGGTGTACAGTATGATTACCACTTCGGTGTTTTAATTTGAATCTTTCAAAGCAACGAAGCGCTTTCATATTCAACGACGATTTTAAATCCTGGACGCGAAAATCTGTTCACATGACGAAAAAAATATATTAATAATGATAGTAATATTAATTTATGAAAATGCACTGATTATTATTGTAAGAAATCGGCTGTACGAAATTGCTTTTTTTATAGCTATCACTGACAGTAGTATTACTTCCTTTATGTAGTGAATGAGGTATACATCCATTCCATAGCTCAATGTCACAATGATTGCTTTTATTTAATTTCTCTAAAGATTTATCATAGAAATTGTGATCACTTTAGTTATTCTATAATCTTGTGCAATAATGACTTAATACTTTTATATTATAATTTAAAGAAAACATCTTATCATATCAGTAGAGACCGTTCGATTATTCTGTAGTTCGAGTTAATTATTAAAGCATTTAAAGTATAATTTATGACAAATAACGTTCATACAATTACAATTATTATAGATCATATGGTAAATCTTTTTCAACTTTGTAAATAATTTTTCTGAAAAAGTTTCAAATTCTTTGTATCTCGTACTTCGACTTTTTTTAAAATGGTATTTCACAAAAAAGTACATACTGTGAATTTTTTATCGATATTTCTTATAGTATGTTTATGGCATTTTCTATCGCATTTAGTATGCTTTCACAATATCATAAGCGTAGCTTTTGATACAAACACTCTGCGTTTTCCACCAATTACCTCTCTTTCCATTATCCTTTTAACTAGCTATAAATTACATCACAGTATTACACGAATAATTCGATTGTGAGTAATTCAAAAATTCAATTTAAATATTAAAAATATATGTATAAATAATTTAAAAAAAATTTATGAAATAAGATGTAAAGTAACTACAATACATGCAAAGAATACTATTGTCAGTAAATAATTATCTATGTGACTAAGTTAAAGTTCAAATATTTAATAGCAGTACATGAAAGTAGAAAAAAAGCCCGTTGGATACTATAAGACGAAGGGGCTTGTAAATAAAATAGCAAAATTACACAGGAGAAGGTGGTCGCACCGAGTGAGTGAAAAAAGTGAAAAGAAAGAAAGAAAGAGAGAGGTATCACCCAGGGCATGTTTTTTCTGTTACGGTGTTCACAGCGCCGATGGCAACTACGAAGTGACGCTGATGACCAAAGCAACTGTCTACCATTCAGGATTGGTCGTCTGGCAGCCACCAGCAGTTTATAAGTCCTCCTGCTCCATCGACGTTGAGTTCTTTCCTTACGACGTTCAGACCTGCGTTTTGAAGTTAGGCTCCTGGACCTATGACGGCTTTAAGGTGCCGAGTTTTATCCCGCAAACAAACAATTAAAAAAGTTCATTAATTGTTCTGTTCGTATTAATACTGCCTTGAAGCAAAAACATAGAATGTTTAATGAATTTAAGGCATTGAGATTTTTAATTTGGTTATTTGTTCAATATAACCACTTGTTTTTAAAGCTCGCGAATTCAAATCAATTATTATTTTGACAATGCTGAGTACTGTGATTGATAGCCTTGCAAGCTATTAACATTTTATTTTTCAATTAAGACTACGTACCTGTGACTGGCTCCATTTGCCAGAAAATTTTTTTAATACTTGATGTTTGATACTTTTTTGTTCGATTTCCCTCATATCTCAATATTGGACAATTTGAGGTATTTAAAATTAATCCTTCATTCGAAATTGCATGAAGTCAATTAAATTATAGAAAATATTTGGTTTCACAGGTAAATAGTCTTATTTTTTTTTATCAGAGTCTAGAAATAATGTCTCGAGTATTCAATTTAATATGTTTCTTTTATCAATGATTCTAACTTTATAATTAGTTGACTCTTATTTGAAAAATTCAAAACCATACGAATGTAAATGTGTCTATAATTATTTATCGTCTGAATTCGTTCGCGAGATGCGCTGTTGAACGTCTTCAAATATGCGTTTTCATGATTATAAATTAATGTTCATCTTCTATGACGATGTTATTTCTTTAATACCTAATTATTCACATCATTGATGTATAGAACTTTGCATAAAATTTTTGTCAACGTTTTTTATAATTCATAATAATAACAATGAAAATTGATCAAATTTTGGCTCTAAATTTTTTCAAAATAACTTGGAATGGTCAATGTGAAAATTATGTTCTGCAAAAATCTGTTAGGCGAGGGTGAAAAATCATACTGTAATCCCTCGTGTCAACATAAAATTTTGCAGAAACACTCGAGATCGTTTTTAATTGACTCTAATGTAGGTGCATCGTGATTTCTAATTAGTACATAAGAACATACATATTTTAATTAATCAAAAAATACATGAGCCTATCTGGCTCTTTTATTTATTACACTGATATTATCAAATTTTTTATGACAGCCTCAAGCTGATTTCATATTTTTTCTGATATTTTAAAAGAGTTTCTTTGCATTAGTACTAAAATATATTTTTATAATTAGAATTGTATACGATGAAAGCAGTTATTATTAGTAAAGCAACCAGTTTTGAACAATTTTTTTTATCTTGTAACTTTGCAGAAATGTAAATAACTTTTTAAAAAATTTTAATTTCCATGAAAAGTATGAAAAAATTGTATGTCTTATGTACGTAGAATAGTCGATTCACCTTAAACTTGAAAATATAATTTGTTATTAGATATAATGTAAGTTAAACCAACATGGTTGTTTTTTATATTATAATTGAAAAGGCATGCACGTGGATTATTATTTAATAAAAAATATTTTCTTGGTGTCTGCAATACTGTGACACCAATGAAAACTAAATAAAAATGAAAATAAAATAAATAACTAAAAAGTATAAATGAACCAAACTAATTACTAGTATACTCGACAGCGGAATTATTTGAAAAGTAAATTTTTATTATGCAATCCAGAGTCGAGAATGCTACAAAATAAATAAAAAAAATACGATAAAAATAAAATCAATAAAAATAATTCTAAATTGCACACGTACTTGGCTATACTTAGATATAGTACTTCACCTTTTATCCTGACATATACAGAGAACAACAAACTCCACCGCTATATACCTGCTTATCAAAGCTCACCTAATCCTATCAAATTATTCATCAGCACAGGGCAACTTTTTTTGACAAAATTGCTTCGTAGATACGGAAAGGAGATCATAGTGATCCAGAAGCTTGTAGTACACTAAAACGCAGTTGTGCTGAAAACAAGTGTCAATTTAAATTACACTATCCTCTTTCCTCAAGAACTAGTCAAGAAACAAGAAACACAAAATTTGAAAATACGTAATAACAAGAAAAGACGTAGGTTTGAAAGAAAAAAGTAAATTTACAGGTAATGTTTGTTGCAGGCGTCTTTGAACGAGCTTAATTTTCGACTGGTAATTGGATCGTTAGAAGCAAATGATCCGAAGGTAATAAGATCGGAAAAAGTGCGAAAGTTTTTGAGTAAACAGAGTTAAAGTTTCTCTAGTCAATTATCGCAACTTTGACTCGGGCTTAAAAGACGATCGGAGAATAAAAGAAAAATGCACGCATTAAACATGCATTACGGTTGAAAACTTGAAATCAAATTTGCCACTTGACAGTCTCTCAGTGCATAGCATTGAAAATCATCGCGGACACGCAAGCAACATCTCGTCCTTCATCTTTCTACGCAGTAATTTTTCATCCTTTTCCCCGAAATGTGTGTGTGATGTTTTTTCGTATATACAGAATAACGATATGCGGAGCTGGAAAGAGGGATGTATGGCTTTTAATTAATGTCGCGCACGTGCCAAACTTGAACCCACGTGCACGAGCGCATTAAATTATATTTATATATGTGGGTATATGTGTGCGTGTGTGTGTGTGTGTGTGTGAGTGGGTTCCTGGGCTCACT